TCCTGAACTTTGTTCCGTTAACAAGTTTTTCTCTTCTGTTACGATGAGTGACGAAATTCGTCACGTGTCAGACACATGATCCATCTAAGGAGGGTAATTATGAACTAATTCTGAACCAGATCTCTTGCACATAAATTTTTTCCACTGTCAAGCCACTTTCACAATTTAAAAAAAAAGACTCCCTCTCTCTAATTTTTCTCTCTTCCTCTTTCTCTTTCTCGATTATCGCTCTATCTCTGAGAAACTAAAAAAAATCTCAAACGTGAAAAACTAGATCTCCACCTGCAACATCGATGGGGTTGGGTTGCCAAGACCGGGCAGAGAGTTGCGATGGGGCTGGAGAGAGAGAAGAGCATGGGCGCAACAGTGGTGCGTCGCAGGAGAGCTAGGCTTACTGGGGCTGGAGAAGGAGGAGCGCAGGTCGCGTGACGATGGTGGGTCACAGTACGCGATGGATTTGGGTTGCCGAGGCTGAAGAGGGAGGAGGTGCAGTGGGTCGGCGAGACGACAATGGCTGGGCTCACCGGATAGAGAAGAGGACAAGAAGAAGGAGCCTCGTGTTAGAAATTAGAAATTGGAAAAAATGGAAATTAGAAAGAAAGAAAGTCAGAGAGAGATAGACGAGAGAGAGAGGGGGAGAGAAGATTTTCTTTTTTTTTTTCTTATTATTTTTTATATTTTTAGAGGCTATAAGAGTAATTGTACTTTTAATTCTTACTAAATAAGTTATAGGTGCAATTTCCGTCATTCATTGTAATAGAAGGAAAAAACTTATTAACGGAACAAAGTTCGGGGGGAGCGGATGTTACGTTTTAAAATTCGGGGGATAAAGTGTTACAAGGGTCATAATTCGAGGAAAATTTTTGAAATTAATCCTAAACATAAATGTCTAGATAAATAGTAGAAAAATGTCTAAGCAAATTATATGGATAACGATACTACGATCCATAATAATGGGAGTATAAAAACTACAAGTTTATGTTAATAAAGTAAGATTAGAAATTTAATTGGAAAGATAAAAAAAAAAATATTTGCGCACAATATGAAAATATAGATCCTATCATAAAGATTGTAACTTCATGTTGATTTTCACATTGTAATTAACTAATTAAACAACAAAAATTACATGATATAATCAACGAATAAAAGCATAAAAGTTGTAACTTTATGATAATGAAATGAGGTTCTTACCATAAACAATTTTTATAATTACTTCTTATGAAAATGCTCCAAATAACATGCTTTGTTATCTTCTTTTTAGCAGATGTTGCAAGGAAGTGATATTTTTTAACCTCAAGGAAAAAGGGTGATAAACAAAGCTAGTGAGGACAAAATGAGTAAGATTATAGCTGCAATATTTATCTAAGGGATTGGAAATGGACAAGAAGACATTGATTAAAGTGGAATAAAAAGTGGGATAGGGAACATGATAAGAATAATATATTCATAATCTTATAGGTTATGAGCATCCTAAATCAACTTTTGTACCCTACCAACCTCTCTAACCACATTTCTTTTATCTCAAATTGCATGATGATGAGGATGGGCAAGGATCCTAACGTGGCAACCCCACCTATCTCCGTCGGCCTAGTGGGCATTCCTCCCACTTGCCGAATTTTGATTCGGCAAACTCATTCCCTGGCTGACCAATCGAATGCTCGAGAGGGCGCTGATGTGGCGGTCCACATGTCACTTAAATAATAAATGATTATACGTGTAGTCATGACCATGGAAAGTGTAAGAGGTCCCTCTTTCACCGCCCTTTGGATCCCAAATATGACATATGTTTGGCGATTAATTAGTTTAGCATTAATGATTTTTCTTTTTCTTTTTATTTTCACTAGCTAAATAAGTTTGCTTTCCACAATAGGAGCAGCATATGGACATAAAGGCCCCATATTACTGTTATATGCGGTGGCTCTTCACATAATCAAGTTATCAAATATGTGAGATTAATTATGCAAAGTCTTTTAATTCTTTGTTAGTGGTCGGTCTTCTTCTAGAAACATATCAAAAATTAGGTTTTTCACCACAAAAGGAGAGACTTTGCTAGTATAGTACAAGAGTTCACACTTGCTGAAAATTATGGCCCGGTGACTAAAGAGTATTTGACGCAAAACACACTCATATATTAAATATATAACCATTTACCTTTATAAACCTTTTTTGTTATTGTGAAAAGAATAGCTTGTGACTTGATTATTAGGATACACTAAAATGCGACAAACACAAGTCGCCCATGCCATCTAAAGTGTGGTTTTTATCATGCTGTTTTTGGCCTTCAATAATATAATATGCCATTCTCAGTTTTTCAACGAATCTTTAAGAGATTCTTTGTTTCCTTTTTTTTTTTTTTTTCCTTCTTCCCTCCTTATGCAGTAAGTTCTTTTTAGAGGGAATTAAGTAGGACAAATGATCTCAAGTACCACTACAATATATAAAGTTAATGTAAACTTAAGTCTATAATTATTTATATATACTTTGACATGGTATCAGAGTAAGTTGTCTTATGTGCGCCGAATGACAATGTGGTAAATGGTTTCCGCGTTTCTTATAATATGGGGAAGAGGGTTAGAAAATTCCCACTTTAGCATGATGCTATTTAGGTCAAGTCAACATATTAGCCATTTGTGTATTGCACTCTCACTTTTGAAGACTTTCACACGACTGTTTCCAATCTTAAAAATGTGTTATAAAACAGTTAATGAGATATGTGAATTTGATGTTAGCAATTAGGCACCCTAATTTCATACCATCGAGAGTATTAAAATCATGAAAAGATATCAAGCAAGAATCAGACCACAAAATTCACTATAATGAAGAAAATGTTTACAAGAGAAAATCACACACCTCATAACTCTGTTTTCTCTAACCTCTCTAACAATTCCATAAATGGCGCTCTCCTTTTACAATAAAAACTGAGACAACCGAGTTTAATAAGTGTGAAATTCTCAAAACTACCCTCAATGAAATTTTAGGCCGGGGGCGCTGCCCCTGCGCCTTAGGAGGGTTGCGGGACGCCCACGTTGACCTTACCGCGAAGGTTGATCTGTGAATTCCTCCACGTAAGTAGTCAACACATTGTTAGGACAAAATTAGACACCACAACTTAACATCTGAATATATATTTAGTAACTATTATTGTCCGACATAACAAAGCAAACTATGATAGCCAGCTCAGCTAGGGAAGATCTTATCTCAGATTCAACACAAGTCGTAAATCTTTGAGACAAGTCATGACCGTTGTCTCCATAACAACGCCAAGATTTTGAGCAATTATTTTGACCCTTTTGAGGACCGCAAGAACCATACTACTATAGGGGGCACAAAACAAAACTTGATCTCAAGCAGTTATATCAAAGCATGGAAAGAGGGGAAAGATAAGAGAGATAATATGCCTCCTTTAGAAGCTTCAGATTTCCAATTGGTGCTCATCGACAAGTTGCAACCATTTTTGTTTTTAAAGGTGAAAAAAAGCAAAAGCAAGAAGCATAACATAATATCACTAAGTCACTAAAAATACGAAGTGAATAAAAGGAAAGAAAAACATATAAACAAGAGAATCATTAAAAACTTGTCCGATTGCTTGGAAGTATAGAGGGCTTGAAACAAAGGCAATAGGGTGGTAGTAGAGTAGATGGGCAAAAGAGGAGTCACTCAATCCCTTCCATTCCATTAGACCAAAGAGAAAAGGGTCCCTCGCAACATTAGACCAATCATAGCTCTTTGGTGTTCTTCTTTGGTTCTTTTCGACCCCACAAAGCACGCACAAAACCAGTTGAAATTCACGTGCCACGTGGACCCATCATGACCCCACAAAAGTTCATTCCATTTTTCCTCCATTGATAGATGAATCAGAGGGAAGATAAGGGGCTAAATTCACAACAAGTCTTCTCAATCTGATCCGAAAGAAGATTGCGCGACGTCTAGATTCCGACATCAATATGAGGTTGAAAGGGGAAAAACAAGACTGATCATTCCTGTGATGCAAGTGACAAGGGATATGGAGAGAGGAGGCAGAGAAATACTAAGCCCCATTGTGGCCTAAAGAAATTTTGCTTTACTTTCCCAAAATGGGAAAAGTATCCTTAACAATGTTAATCAGCCAAAATTTTCTCTCTAACACAACATGTTTGTCCTTGATTGAAAGAGGTGGGGTTTGTGGTTGCAACTGTTACAAAAAGTGCAAAGATTTTCACAATCTTCTTTGCTTTTGTGGCTTTTTTCCTCTCTCTCTCCCCTATTCAACTTGGCAATATTTGTGATGGTTTCCCCAAAACAAAAGACCCCCCTTCAAAAAGAAAGAACTAAAAAGAAAATTCTAAAAACTCTCTCTCTCTCCTATTCAACTTGGCAATATTTGTGATGGTTTCCCCAAAACAAAAGACCCCTTCAAAAAGAAAGAACTAAAAAGAAAATTCTAAAAACTCTCTCTCTCTCTCTCTCTCTCTCTCTCTCTCTCTCTCTCTCTCTCTCTCTCTCTCTCTCTCTCTCTCTCTCTCTCTCTCTCTCTCTCTCCCTCAAAAACTCTCTCTCTCTCTCTCTCTCTCTCTCTCTCTCTCTCTCTCTCTCTCTCTCTCTCTCTCTCTCTCTCTCTCTCTCTCTCTCTCTCTCTCTCTCTCTCTCTCTCTCTCTCTCTCTCTCTCTCTCTCTCTCTCTCTCTCTCTCTCTCTCTCTCCCTCCCTCCCTCCCTCTCCTATTCAACTTGGCAATATTTGTGATGGTTTCCCCAAAACAAAAGACCCCTTCAAAAAGAAAATCTTTCCACCAAAGTAGGCAGTCTTCATACGGATTCTCATGACTGCAGTTAGGTTGACTCAGCCACCCAAAATCTTCACCTTTAAATTCCCTCATCAACCCTTCTTTATTCTTCGCTCTTCCACACCACTCTTTCACTCCTTCTCTGCCTTGTTTATTTTTATTTTTATTTTTTTTGGCTTACAAACTAGACAACAGTTTAAAAAAAAAAAAAAAAAAGTTTAAACTCCTTTAACCTTCCTCAGCTTCTTTTCTTCTCTTCTAACAACAACAACAACAACAACAACAACAACAACAACAACAACAATGAGACACCCGCCAACTAACTTTATGATCTTATTATTCCTCTTCACTTGCCTAAATATTAGAATAAACCTTTGTTTTCCCAACATCCTTTCATTGAAAACACTTGAGCTTGATGGCCATTTCGACTTTGATCAAGTCCATCACGCAGCAAGGGATTTCGGCAACATATTTCAGTTACTGCCTTTAGCAGTATTACACCCGAAATCCGTCTCTGACATAGCCATTACTGTGAAGTATATTTGGGAGATGGGCACAAGCTCGGAGCTCACGGTCGCCGCCAGAGGCCACGGCCACTCCCTCCAGGGCCAGGCACAAGCCCACAGAGGAGTGGTCATCAGCATGGAATCTCTCAAGTACCCGGAAATGCGTATTTACCCGGGGAAGTCCCCTTATGTTGACGTCTCTGGTGGAGAGCTGTGGATAAACATCCTGCATGAGACGTTGAAACATGGGTTGGCGCCAAAATCATGGACTGACTACCTGCACCTGACCGTCGGCGGCACGCTGTCCAACGCCGGGGTCAGCGGCCAGGCGTTCCAGCATGGCCCTCAGATCAGCAATGTCCATCAGCTGGAGGTTGTTACAGGTTTGTCATCAGAAAAAAAAAAAAAGTTGAGGGTGACAAAACAACAATAATAAATAAAAACGAAACAGAACTATTTCAGAACAAAAGATGAGGCCAAATAGTCAAGGGTCAGACGTGGAAAGACAATGGGGGAAGTTATTCATGCAATCATAACTTCTTTATATATTGGCTGATTATAATAATTATTATTCTTTTTGGAAAAAGAAAAATTGTTCACACTAAGTTGTCTGGATTTGACCTTGGTCTTTGTTGGAAAATAGCCCCATGACTTAATAACTTAAGTCATAAGGCACCAATTTAGTCTTGCAAACAAGCTTTTTTTTTTTTTTTTTCTTGCGTGCATAACCTTCATGATGCCTTACTAAAAACTAATTTTAAAATGAGTGCAGGTAAAGGAGACGTGGTAAATTGTTCCAAGGAAGAGAATGAAGACTTATTTCACAGTGTTCTTGGAGGACTTGGTCAATTTGGTATCATAACGCGGGCAAGAATATCATTGGAATCAGCACCTGCAATTGTATAAAAACAAAACCAAAAAAAAAAACAAAATATTTACCTCTAAGCTAGTAAACAAAATTTCAAAAAACAAAAGATTTTGAAGTGTATAAAAAAACTAACCATTTTGATACAACAGGTGAAGTGGATTAGAGTGTTATACTCGGATTTCGCAATGTTCACCCGAGACCAGGAATGGCTCATATCCGCGGAAAACACGTTCGATTACATTGAAGGGTTTGTGATCATAAACAGGACAGGCCTCCTTAACAACTGGAGATCATCGTTCAACCCTCAAGACCCAGCTCAGGCCGGCCAGTTCAAGTCAGATGGAAGAACACTTTTCTGCCTAGAATTGGCCAAGTACTTCAATCCTGACGAGACCGAAATGGCAAATCAGGTGAAAAGCTCGTGGAAAACTATTAACCAATTCATGTTAAGTATCACTAATCACTATTAACCAATTCATGTTAAGTATCACTAATCAGTTTTACACTTTATTCTCACATTACAGGAAGTGGAGATATTGTTGGGTCAACTAAATTATATCTCTTCAACACTCTTCCAATCAGAAGTCACATATGTGGAATTCTTAGACAGAGTTCATATTTCCGAGGTCAAACTGCGGTCGAAAGGCTTGTGGGAAGTTCCACATCCTTGGCTGAATCTTCTGATTCCCAAAAGCAAAATCCACACTTTTGCTAAACAAGTCTTCGGCAATATCCTTACTCAGACCAGCAACGGACCTGTTCTAATCTACCCAGTCAACAAATCAAAGTAACAATAACAACCCATATCACCTTATTAAAAAAGCTTTTTCACAATATCATTGAAATTGACTAATTTTGAATTCTTAATAACAGGTGGGACAACAGAACCTCTGTGGTTATACCAGAGGAAGAAGAAGTGTTCTACTTAGTGGCATTTCTTAGCTCAGCAATTCCTTCTTCCACAGGAAATGATGGCTTAGACCACATTTTAACTCAAAACAAGAGGATTCTGGAGTTTTGTGAGACTGCCCATCTTGGGGTGAAGCAGTATCTGCCTCACTACACCACCCAAGAAGAATGGAGGGCCCACTTTGGGACCCGCTGGGAGGTTTTTGCACAGAGGAAATCTGTTTATGACCCTTTGGCAATATTATCTCCTGGCCAAAGAATATTTAAAAAAGCCAACAGTATTATACACTTGTCTTCCTCATAACCAACCCCACAATGCTTTACTTTTGTGGGCTTAAGTGGTTTAGCCGCAAAAACACTGTAAAATGAATAATGGTTATTATTGTTCACGTGGCTTTCTTTTGTGTCACGAGGAGGCTGCATAGTGGCTTTGTTGAAGATTTTGTAAAGGGGGGCTTAGATTTTAGAAGTATCCATTATACAGTTGGGAAAGAGTCTGTATGACTATATAATGCATATGTAGTATACAAATTTTGTAAACATATGAATCTAATACTTTCAAAGAGATATATAGTATACAGCAGCAAGAGACGATCGCTCTACGGCTCTCTCTTCCGTCTGTCAGTAGTTCAATTCTTCGTGTCCACACTTTGCTTATGAAATAGTAAGATTATGTGTTTGACATGCGTGGACCTCAAGGTTGTTTATGACAAGTCGGTGGAGGTCCTGAGACACCACTGATCTCTTTTTATTCAACAAAGAAAGAAAAAAAAAGGAAAAAAAGAGAGATATAGGACCCATTTAGTTTACTGATTCGAGTTTTTAATTCAAGTTGAGATGTAACTTAATGTGAGAGCTTTTTACTGTAGTAAAAAAATTAAATGTGACTGTTTCTGAGAGTTTTTTACTGTAATAAAACTCAAATTTTAAACTCAAATCGGTGAAATGAGCGTAACTATAGTATAAATATCCTGCTCAATAACGTAGGTTTTGTTCGTTTAACCGGTTCGAATCACAATTCAAATTTTTGTTACACTGTTTTCTTTCATAAAAATTTAAATTTATTTTTTTTGTTACATTATTTTTTTTCACATAAATTCACTTTTCAACTTAAATTAAAAACTCGAACAACTGAAAAAAAAAAAAAAAACGAGGAAATAGTATAGAACAAAAGGTTACATTATTTTTTTTCACATAAATTCACTTTTCAACTTAAATTAAAAACTCGAACAACTGAAAAAAAAAAAAAAAAACGAGGTAATAGTATAGAACAAAAGCCAATTCAAGCCTCCAATTAGTAATAATAGTAAGGATTCAGAGCAAAGCCAAGCTAACCGCCTTGGTAATATGAACCTCATTGGCAGACAATCTGCCTTTTTCTGCAACGTCCAAGATATTGTCAATGTACTTAGATATGTAACCAATATCACAATGGCAGACTGTTTGCCTTTTTTAATCGAAAGCGGTATCAGTTTTTGCCATACTGTGTCAGAAAGTGCCTTTAAAATATCTGGCAACTGCAATGAATATGGAGAGGGCTCAAACCACAAAGGCATATTCTTGTTACTTTCTCCGAGTGTGATCATGAAAAAGATGACATGAGACACTCAAGCATTCACTTTTGCTAACAAGCATTTCATGCTATTTTCAAGCACAATGGCTTGCCTTCTTAGAAATTCCATATATTTCGGAGCCTTAAGGTCTTCAGTTTTCCATCAGGTGCAATGCATAATTATCCAAAACTGTGATATGAATAAGATCATGTAGAGAGAAAACAGATGATAAGAATCTAGAATGATTGTTCATAGTATTATTTTCAGGGTCGATGGTAGGGTACAAAAAGAATACCCTACCACTACTTAATTCTAGACCATCAGATCACATCAAAATTAACGGAGCTTAATAAAAAACTAACGGTTCAAAATTGCACAATAATGATTTTTAGTCCTCAACTTTGCAGGACAAAGACAGAGGAGTCTACTACTGAAGTTTCCAAAAATATGACCAATGAGAAGAGAATATTACCATTACTTAGTGAAAGCTACAAAAACAATTATAATTAGCAGAGTTCATAGTTTAACTCTCTCTCATCAACACTTTCATGAGCCATCTTAACGGGATAACAAAACATGAATTCAATAAACTTGATATTGTTCTGTAGTAGATGTAACTGTTTCTGAGAGCCTTTAACTATAGAAAAATTAGAATTGAAAACTCGAATCGGCGAATTGAACGATGCGTTGATATAGTTCTGTTGAGTTTGAAGGATTGGTGGATGACGTGTTACACCTGCCTTTCCAACTAACTTTTGTCAGCACAAAGAATCTTTCCCATTTTGATTCAACTTCTAAAGGACATCCAATTTGCATCAAGAGAGGTCTCTATAAAGCAACAAGCTCAAAAAAGGAAAATTCTCTCTTTTCCTGTTCAAGAGATTCCAGCATCTGTATTCAGAACCAACCAAGGGAAAAGGTGTTTCTCTGCAAAATTAGCCCATGCACTCTGTTCACTTACTGTGTCCCACATCACATTGCACATCTGACAATCATTATGATTCCAAAAGGCAGTGATTCTCATGATATTTGTCTCTGAATTCTGGAAATGGCTCGAATTTCGAAACCCACCTTACCAAAAATATGAAGTGAAGCTCCAATTTTTCTCTGAATATGAACCGTTGCTTGAGAATATAACACCAAATGGGACCTATCTCAAGTTGCATATGCAGGCTATGGAATTGAATGAACCAGAAAGAATATGCCATTCATGCTCCTAATAGTGTGGTATTACGTTTTTGGCAGACAATAAAGTAAACACGAATGAAGAAGTGCGTTAGAAAGTTAACTAAGTAGACAAGATGTAAATAGAAACCACCTACATAATGGGAAAAAAAACTTGGTAACTGGCAAATAACCATCCATCCTAAGAAACTAATTTCTTGTACATTCAACGGAACCTCGAGAAAAATAGCATCCCTAATACAGTAGTCCGGCGCTTAAACACTGCTAATTTAGTTGTCGCTACTCCGGTGAGGACGACAAAAAGCTTTAATTCTTAGATTCTTTTGATGAATAATTAGTTCCACAATATCAGTACCATCAAGTGGAGGTCAATTTTTCACTATTGAAAATACAATATGAATGTTGGTGCTTTTGAAAACTTATTGACATCACTCAGAGCTTAAGAATAAAGCAGAAATAGCTATATGCAGGACAGATCATAACCCCACTGTCAATGGAACACTAGCATTCCAAGTGAAGAAATCAAGTATGCCAGTTGCCAAGTATGGAAAGAAGCACAAACAAATGTTCCATCTCATGGAATAAATTTTAGAAGAATTAAGAAGCATCGTTTTTAATGTTGACAAAGAGTAGAAGCTATTGGAAAATCAGATATCAAGCAAAAGGTCCATCTTTTGTCGAAAGTAACTAATTTCAGATATTAGACTGCAAGAATCCCGCCGAGGAAATAATCATTCATAAGAAGAACCTCACAAATGAAAGCAAGGCTTGTAATTCCCTCAGAACTTCAGTTTCGCGGTCGAGGAGTAAAACAGATCTTTTGAGGACAGATCACAATCTAGTTGGTAGTGGAATATGTGCGGCAAATTGTTCTACAAAGACATGTCATGTCCCAGAATTCCACAATGAGAGGATAAAGCTTAGACTGTATGCAAGTGAAAATTTCATGAATTATGTAGTAGCTTGTTGAAGGAGCTCAAAAAGTGAATCAATGAAGCGGTATAAACCGAAGTTAAACATTGCTTACCTTTAGTTCATATGCATTGAGCAGATATTAGGAGTCACAAAGTCCTAACTATATGCTAGGATTATTTCAAAAGTACCTCACACTTTGTACCCTGTTTTAACATGCCCCCGAATTTTGAAAAGGTTCGTGTGAAAAATGTACTCCAACTAAAAATGCCCTCTACATTTATAAAACTGCATAGATACATACAACTACATAGCATACTCAGTTATCAAAATAACAAAAAACTACATATCACACTGAAGTTCTGTGGACAGAAGTTACAGCAATAAGATTTTTCTCATTCAACTGACTCCAAACTTTAGAACTAGCCAAGAAATAGTGCAAGATAAGAATACAAAGAAAAGAAAAACGTATAGGTTGACCTTTTAGGATGGAGCCTCAACGCTCTAGTAAGTAATAATGTCCATAGCTAAAACCATAATGCCTATAGAGGAAGGAATTAACATTTATCTTTCTAAATGACTGAAAATGCGCACCAATATTTGACATTAGCAACCAAATATCCGTCACATAATGGATTTCACACACTTATTCTCTTGCTTTGTGGGTCACACACCAAATATATGTTTTGAATTCAATTTTACTCCCATATATTAAGGCCTCTTTTGTTTTGCTAAATCAAGTTTTCAACTCGAGTTGAAAAGTGAATTTATATGAGAAAAAACATTATAACACAAATGGTTGAATTTGAATTTTTGCGTGAGAAAACAATGTAGCGAAAACTTGAGTTACGATTCGAACCAACAAAACAAACGAGTCCTAAAGCAACAAAGGGTATGAATAATCACCACCCAGAAAACCCATTTGAGCTAAAATGAACACTTTCCCAGTAAAACCCAAGAATCAGAAAGCTAAGACATAACCAGAGAGTTGCACTTTCAAATACATTATCAAACACAGAGACAAGTTTCCCTTTGTATAGCAAAATTCAGATGCAATAAATATATGTGGTGTATGTGGTGTACATATATTTTTACTTTGTAATGATACCTGAAGAGTAGTGTATCGAAGATACTCGCCAGTGTCAACTTTCAAGTTTTTTTTTTTTTAATGCAGAAAATATTTCATTAAACAACAAACATGAAGCTTACAGAGAATTCAATACAGAAAATGTGATACAACAAACTAAAATCGGTAAATATGTTGGCGTCTGTTACAACCGAGCCTAGGAGGAATAGATACGAACGGATGTATGCTAGAGGTGCTCGCAACGTTTTCGGTTGGGGAAAGGAGGTGAGTGCGTGAGGAGGCTGCTGAGCTGGCCTAGGCAGTTAGACTCCTAGAAAGTAGTGCCTAGTGAGGAGGGATGTTAGAAGAGAGATAGTGAGGGGGGCAGTCATTTTTATCTTCATTCTGAGAATAATTCTACTATTGTATTGGCTGGCCGAGCTGAGCTCGTGGTTTCCAGCGATGATTAATCAAATGGATCCTTTGGTTGAGGTTCCTTCAGTAATCTAGCTGTGGTGTTGGTCTGTGTGCTTGTGTGTGTGTGTGTATTTCTGCTGTAGGTACCCGGAGACCTAACACGAAGGGCTGCTGCTTCTCCAACCGAACTTGAGGTTGCAGGCTTTGGCCGGAATCAATGGTGGAGAGATGCTCAAGTTGTACTGTAACGACCCCTCACGGACCGTCACAGTTATCTTAACTTTTAAACATTTATCTCTTAAAGAATGCGAAAAAATCGTTAAACTTGAAATATTTTACTTTAAACGACTTAAAGAAAAGCCTAGATTTTTTTTTAAACATACTATCTTTAAATTTTTGAACTTCCTCAAAGAAAAATAAAACAACAACCTTCGGTTCAAGTTAGTTATTAAAATCTATAAAGTCTAAAATATTCTTCAAATCAAAACCACCATAAACTG